TGATCACGTATGTTTGAGAGAGGCAGAATGTTTTTTGATTAATTATATACTATTACTTCATAGAAAATTGATTATTGCACAGTACATAGTGCACTCTACACAGAACCCGCAAATGTCGGGGTTAGGGCTGAGGAGCTAAAACAAGAAGCCCACTTATACTGGGGAAAAAATTCGTATTTAATTGGACACAAATAGTGGGATTTAAAGTAAGTCCTCATGTTACCAGGCTTTAGCCTGTTGCTTTCACTTCATCTTGATTGACAGATGCACACATAATCTGGTTTAACAGACACATATTTGATGGGTTACTGTACCGCACACCTCTTTTATCCTTAGTTCTATCTGATATGGAAGATAATAATTTCTTAAAATAAACAATATACAAAAGGAAGATAATAAGCAACGTTATACAAAAAAATGTATAAGGGACAGAAATTTCTTTTTTTCCTCGAACTTTCCATTTCACGTAAGAAGTAATAAAGATATTTTTCTAATTGAAGGAGATGCATTATATATCTATAGTTTTTTAATCAAAATTTGAGCAATATTTTCCATCCATTTGTCAACAGTGAAGGACATGAAGGTTTTGGCGGTTTAATGTTTTGTCAAACCTTCGGGTCCTTCACTGTAGTTTGTTGGTACAAAGAAATGGGACAAAACAAAAAACAGCCAAAACATTTGGGTCCTTCATTGCAGTTTGTTAATCGAATTTTGGGCAATTTTTTCCAATCCATTTGTCAACCGTGAAGGACCTCAAGGTTTTGGCATTTTTACATATTGTCCAAAAAGAAACCAAACAAAACATAAAACCACCAAAACCTTCGTGTCCTTCATTTTTGACAAATGGATGGCAAATATTGCCTAAAATTCAATTAATAAATCTATGAGTATTTAATGTATTTCCTTCAATAAGAAAAATATCTTGCGTTCTTTTTAACTGAGACTGAAAGTTCAAGAAATAAAGAAATAATTCATTTACACAATACTTAAAACCATAGGCAGAAACCCACTCCCATTTATTAAATTCACCTTCACTCACAGTTCTAATGCAAGATCAGTATGATTACACCAACAACCATCAACAGAATCACAAAATATATGCATTTCACAGCTAAATCAACAGTTTCCAACACTTCTCAAAAACATTCGGCCTATATTTCATAACATGCCAACAAACATAAAACTCAAAACGTTAAAATAAACTTAAGGCACAGAAAAAAGGAGAAGAACACTTTCTTAATCCAGACAGGAGGAGCCGGAAGCTCAATTGCAACAAATTCATTCTGCTTATTCTCACCGTTCTCCATTTCACAAATTTTCAGAGAAAATTAAGAAGATCACGGAATTCTTAACATTCCAGAAGCAGAAACCCTAGACCGCTCTTAATTTCTTAATCCACCTTCAATTCTCGCAATTCTATACGTTTTGGTCACCGTAATGTCGTAAAGATAACAATAACATCCAAATCAGCACGATTTCACAAACAATAATAGATTCATCACAATTTCGGAATTTCCACAAATGCATTTCACAGCTAAATCAAACACTTTTGAATGAAATTCGTAATGCAATTCTAATTTCAAACAAACGTAAAACTCATAAAGTTAGGTCACATAAAATTCGAGCACAAAATTTACAAAAAGAAGGAAAATAACACCTTCTTAATCCAGCCAGGAGGAGCTGGAAGCTCAATCGTAACAGCTTCCTTTTGCTTAATCTCCTCGTCGTTTTCCATTACTCAATTTCAGATAAAAAATAAGAAATTGAATTCTTTTTTAAGGTTCCCGCTATCTCTGTATGGACTTTCTTCTCCCCAGTTTCTCTTCTACAATCCGTATAATTATTAATATTAAATTATATTTTTTACGTGAGCTGAATTGGTATTTATTCATCATTTATTGTGTGCGTGCTCGGTAGAGATTAATTAAAATTGAAAAATTAATTATTATTGTTGACTTTTATTAGACGAGTGACACTCAATAACGACTTTATTTTCAATTTTAATTAGATTTTAAGTTTAGCCAAACATCCTCACAGTATATACAAATATCGATCCGAACTTGTGACGGAATACGAATATTCCGTTAGTTTGGTGGGGGCCATAATTAATCGCATTCCTCCCTACTTCCATTAACTTTCTTCCGTTATTTTTCTTTGACGTTTGGTAACGGTGTCTCGTGCATATTATTGTATTAATTCACCGAAAAGAGAATGGTATGGTAAGTTTNATGCAAAACCAGTGGCATTACAGCACAAGATAACAATAACATCCAAATCAGCACGATTTCACAAACAATAATAGATTCATCACAATTTCGGAATTTCCACAAATGCATTTCACAGCTAAATCAAACACTTTTGAATGAAATTCGTAATGCAATTATAATTTCAAACAAACGTAAAACTCATAAAATTAGGTCACATAAAATTCGAGCACAAAATTTACAAAAAGAAGGAAAATAACACCTTCTTAATCCAGCCAGGAGGAGCTGGAAGCTCAATCGTAATAGCTTCCTTTTGCTTAATCTCCTCGTCGTTTTCCATTACTCAATTTCAGATAAAAAATAAGAAATTGATTTTTTTTTTTTTTTAAGGTTCCCACTATCTCTGTATGGACTTTCTTCTCCCCAGTTTCTCTTCGACAATCCGTATAATTATTAATATTAAATTATATTTTTTACTTGAGCTGAANTTTTTTTTTTTTTTTTAAGGTTCCCGCTATCTCTGTATGGACTTTCTTCTCCCCAGTTTCTCTTCGACAATCCGTATAATTATTAATATTAAATTATATTTTTTACGTGAGCTGAATTGGTATTTATTCATCATTTATTGTGTGAGTGCTCGATAGAGATTAAAGTCGAATTAAAATTGAAAAATTAATTGTTATTGTTGATTTTTATTAGACGATTGAGACTCAATAACGATTTTATTTTCAATTTTAATTGGATTTTAAGTTTAGCCAAATATCCTCACAGTATATACAAATATCGATCCGAACTTGTGACGGAATACGAATATTCCGTTAGTTTGGTGGGGGCCATAATTAATTGTATTCCTCCCTACTTCCATTAACTTTCTTCCGTTATTTTTCTTTGACGTTTGGTAACGGTGTCTCGTGCGTATTATTGTATTAATTCACCGAAAAGAGAATGGTATGGTAAGTTTTTGAATAATTGAATAAAGGCGAACATGGAATCATCAAAATGTGGTACCAATTGTCAATTCATCCACATTAATTATTGCTATACAAAAATAATTATTCAACAAATGTGAAAGTCCTTGGAAGAGTTTCAAGTTTCAATAAGTCCTTTTTCACTTGATTAGTTTACAAGGTTAAACTCGGTGTTTGGTGAATATTAAAATTAGATTTTTAATAGATTGTGATAAAAGTTTTTGAAATGTATGGTTGAAAAATTGTGGGACTCATGAAAAATGTGACTGATATTGATTGTTTAACTTTGACTTGAATTAAAATCAGATTTTAATCCGAACCAAACACGTGCATAATAAACTTGTGAATTACATATATATTATATTTTAATTGAACCCTTGCGGCCGCGGGAGCTTTACAAAGAGATTAAAGAGTCAATTTCTATACACACACGCACACCAATGTCTTCCACTAACTACCGAAGTATCGTCAGTGATTATTGACATCACCAACGACATTGTCATTCGTAATTGCTGACGAAGATGCGTTGGTGATCACCGAAGATATCGTCGTCTTTAATTTCGTTCGATTCATCAATATATTGTTTTTCTTCGTAATCTCCAACAATAATATCGTGCCTATTAAGCATATAAATTTTTGCTAATGATTATTTGCATCGTTAATTTTTTATTTTATTATTTCTAGAAAGAACCCTTGACAAATTTACTTTCCAAATTGCTTAGAAGCCGCCTCTAATACTGATTCTCTTAATTCAGTTGACTTTCAACATTGATATTCCACAGCTGGATTTTCCACTAATGACTTGTGGTTCAATTTCTTCACTCAACAACTTCAAGTGGAGCACATTAATGATTTGTCTCTTCATGTTTTTCCTTATTTTTCTGTGCACTTATTGGATTGAATTTGTATCAAGAGTCAAGTCCACATTACTGTAGAACTTGGCTGGGTCAAAGAAGACAGCCACATTCAACATGTGAAGAACAATTCACTAGTTTAGTCAACCAGTGTATGTGGTATTAATTCCATAAGTAATTGAGAAGAATTGACTAGCAACCTAAAATTGAAATATGATATACACAACAAAAGCGACATTTCTTAGTTAAAAAAATAAATTATATAGTCAAACATATTGATTTTTCGTTCACGAGAGTGGTAGATACACGAGGAACACGTTCGATATAGAACAAATTAGCATTAGTAGGCATGGCTATGTGCATAAATATTGTGACGGATCAAAGAAATAACGTTTTTAAGTCTTACACTTCGATGGATCCAATTTACATTAAGATTTATATTTCTATGAAATATATCAAATGAATATTTGCGTGCATGATCCATCGTATGTGAAATGTGGAACTTGATAAATGTGATAAAATGTGTGGTTGAAAAGTTGATAAATTATGGATTCCATAAAATACGCTGTTAAAATTAATTGTTGACTTTGACTTGATTTTTTTTATCGACTTTTTTAGTTAAACGAAAGAAGAACTTAATTTCGATTAAAATGAATATTAAGAAAACGGGGAATAGAATTGGGGCAGAGTGGAAAATATAGATCTATGCACATTAAAGATTACGAAGATAAATAAATCAAGTCTCATCATCGCATGCTATATAAATTATACGTATCGAGATTTAAAAAAAGAAAATTGCACGTGAAGGATATGTTAAAGATATAATTTGGCGATTGGAGCTCGAGTTGGACATCCAATTACTTCGATTATCAAATATATTTCTATATCCCGAATAGGAAATCAATAAAGGATCGTAATTTGATCCTCAACCAGATAGAAATTACTAAAAAGAAAACAGAAAATTGTATGAAATATTATCTAGGGTACCTAGTCAAGAGATAGACTTGTATGCATGGAGAATTACTCCAAACATTAGAATGCAACCTCAATATATCTCTTGCTTTCTTCTGCAGATAATCTGCACAATCTGCTTGAATCACCATGCAAATTTTTGAGACTGCTCCAACACTCAACATCTCCATTAAAACTTCCCGAGTAGCCGAAAATCGAGATATCAAAGCAAGAATATGCAGTGATTTATCATCTGTTGCAGTAGAAACTCTCAGCAATCTTTTAGAAACCATGGCTATGCCACCAGCATGTTTAATCAGTTGTGCTCTTCCATCGGCACATGAACATAATTGTGCCAACAGGTAGAATATAAGCTCGGTCGTCGACTTTTTCTCCTGGCGGTGGCCTGATAATTCCATCTCAATAAGGTGGAAAATTGCACCAGCTTCAACTATTTTCATTCTGTTTCTTCCCAGTGGACAGACTTCTATTAGGGTCTGTAGGACAGATTTTATGGCCTGTTGGGATATCGTTTTTCGTAGAATATTTAAGAGTTCTTTGAAGAAATCGAGTTTTAGTCTCTCCAACAGGCTTGAACTTGCAATTTCTGTTATCATTTTCAGGACTATAACCGCTTGAGTTTTGCGTGTTTGGCTGTTTTCTGATTCAGTCTTCAGAATCCATATTATGGATTGAAGGAATTCGAAATTCTCTTTGAACAGCTGCTTGTTTTCAGGAGTTGGATTCCAGGTTAGATGGAGAATCCTCAATGCTTCTTCCAGACCTGTAGTGTTACCTGTTGAACCACCAAAATAAACCCCGTATACCGGTGAGAGGCGTACTTGTCGAAGATAGTTTAAAATAAATGAGTAACG